GGGGGGGCCCCCCCCGCCTCGAAGACCTCCTGCAGGCAGATGAAGTCGGCGTCCGCCGGGAAATGCTCGGACAACACTGCCGGCTCCGGCTCCACCGCCTCCACCGGCATCTCTACCGTCACGCTGCCGGGAGGCTGCCGCGGGGTGCAAAGGGTCCCGCCGTAGCTGTTGGTCTCGCCGTGCTGTGGCTCAATCAGGCCGGCCCGGGTGCCGGGGTGGTCCGGTGGTGCCGGGGCAAGGTGGCGGGCGATGTAGGCACCACGCTGTGGTGTCTGCCCCAGGTTGCTGAACTTGGCCAGGCCACTGGGCAGCAAGCAGAGGTTGGCACTGACAAAGGTGAAGGTCCGGCGCTGCCGCAGGTCCCACGGCTCCGCCTGTGCCGTGCCTGCCATGTACTGGTAGGCAAAGGGCCGCCGCACCGCCTGCACTGGCAGCCACAGCAGCAGCCCCAGTGCGGTCAGGGGCAGCGAGAGCAGCAGCAGCGTGGCGTATGCCAGCCCAGCCAGCGCCTGCCCGGCACAGCCGCAGCACCGCCCGCACCGTCTCCGCCGCTGCTGCCTCCGCTCCGCTGTCGTGGGCTGCAGGTCGAGGAGGCGGTTGGCGGCCCAGAAGCTGGGGGTGAGCACACTGGCAGCCACAGCAGCAGCCCCAGTGCGGTCAGGGGCAGCGAGAGCAGCAGCAGCGTGGCGTATGCCAGCCCAGCCAGCGCCTGCCCGGCACAGCCGCAGCACCGCCCGCACCGTCTCCGCCGCTGCTGCCTCCGCTCCGCTGTCGTGGGCTGCAGGTCGAGGAGGCGGTTGGCGGCCCAGAAGCTGGGGGTGAGCATCCCCCAGGCCAGGCAGTCCAAGGCCGCCAGCGCCCGGTTGGGGAAGGGGGACTCCCGCAGCAGCATGGCGGGGGGGTGCCACGGCGCCGGGGGGCCGGGCAGGGGGTTGAGGGCGAGCGCGGCGTCCCCCTGCTCCTGCCCGGGGGCTCCGGTGCAGCTGGCACGACCTGCCGGAGAGAAACCCCGGGTCAGCGGTGGCCGGGC